ATCACTTCACTGACGGTGGTATTCGGTCTTAACACAATAAATTCGATAATATCTTGCAACCTATGTTTAGAAGGCTGATCCCGCGGAAGTTGGCACGCATGGTGGGGTCGCCTTTCTTGTGGATTGGACAGAGCGCACATGTATTCCAGTCGTCGGGCATGCACCTTATTACTTCCTTGCCATTGTAATTAAATAGCTCAGCTGACAGGCCGTCAGCTCAAGCAGCTTTGGCACTTTTCGTCATAGTCAGGCGCTGGGATATCGACTCCATCGACTGGGACCTCGGGTTCGTCTTCTACACTTCTTTCAGTGCTTCTGCCACTCAAAAGGGTCGAAAAGTGTTCCCTCCATAATCTGAGTACGTTCTGGACATCGGTCACTAGGTCGCCATGGTTGTTCCTACAAGAGTCTTGAAACCTTCCGTAAGTCGCTCAACTCTCTGCCAAAAATTTCGGGTGTTTTTTCTGTCGGCCAGCATTTCAAGCATTGTCTTACACTCCTCATCGTACCAGTAATGAGCGGGAAATGTTGCTCCACTGAACTCGCAAGGTTTGTTGAAAAGTGCTCTCTCACAGCAGGTGTGAGGGTCGAGCGCCGAATCCATTGGCCGTCTGTTTTGATTGCAGCTTTTCGACGTTGAACTTTCCTTGGATTGTTGGGGGTTTGCTGCTCCGAGGTTGGATCGTATAGTGAATGCATCAATATAGTAGTGACGGTCGACGTTTGGCCCTCGGAGTGTACGTATGTACATCTAAAACGTGAAAACATGGTTTCCCGTTTTTCGATGTGGAGACATCCATGTAGCTTGATGGATCTATTTATGCTAGAACCCAGTAATACATACTGCCAAGTTTCGGGCCCCGGCGAAATCGATCACCCTCAGCTAATATGTACGCTCTAAGCAAACAAAGCCTTGGATGCCTCGTCCCTCTCTTCCATCGGAGCATTGGCACATATGAATGAGATGTTGAAGAATCTCGCTTTGATGCGGATTGTGGCTAGACTTTCGTCCACTAGAGTGAACGCCGATCTCTCTCCCACCACAAATCCAACACCGAATTGCACTCCTTTACGTGGCAACTGTAGTAGACGTCGCAAGGCTCCACGCTTACCTTCCTCGCCCCGTCCATCGCATTTCGTGGATGGCGGTGATGTCAGCCTCTATTTTCCCTAGGACATCAACCAGCCGGGCAGAGGCACCATCCCGATTAAGGGTTCGGATATTCCAAGCGCATACCCTAAAATCATAGTCCTTCCTATGTTTGCCGTGATCGTCATCAAAAGAAGGGGGTGACATCCGAGGCATGTATTTTTTTTTCATTGGGCAGGGTTTTAACGTGGCGGGACCCAAACCCAGCGCACGTGGGCCACTCCCAGTTGAATGGCAGTCAAAAGCTTTGCAGTACTGGGAAATGTGTGTGGGCAAAAGCGAATATCTCAACTAAACCCTGATGTATTTTTTAAATTCATAGCTCTACATACCTGTATAGTAAATCAAATAGCCGGACCAGACGTTATTCAAAATATAAAATGTAAAGAAATAAACTTTTTTTCGTATACTCTGTAATATTCCTCCGCAATTTTGTAAGGTAAACTAATAATTTATAATCATTGCTTTGCAGCGAAATATCTTCTCTTAAATTATATACATAGGTACGTATAAATATGAGGATGTATTGAACATTTTGAGTATGCAGATTTTTATGCTGGTATATTCATTTATGCTAAATAAAGGGCCCTCCCCCTGCCCCTACCTGGCTACGCCCATGAACTGAGCTCAATAACAATATTAAAATAAAATGTTAATAAGCCACAATAATGAGCAACAATAAGCAAATGAACTTGTTTAAATTTGCTAATACTAACAGCCAATTTCACGAAAGCAATTTAAGTGAAAGATTTTAATTCTTTGAATTTCATATCGAAATTTACAAAAAATAAAAACTAACTTGGAATTTAATTCCAGACATTTTAGAAGTCTGTATAAGCTGTCACAAGGTACACAGAGACATTTAAGAGACGCTTAATTCGTTTTTTTTTTTAATTTTTTCACCTATGTCTCCACGAATGGTGATAAGTCATGACTTCTGTTTGGCACGTCATGGCTACATAGAATAATTCTTTGGAAATAATGGCGCGTTTATGTATAAAGGTTCGCCGGCCCTGGTCTAAAGCTTTCTTAATATCCACCCACGTCTCTGAAAGAAGTAGAAAATTCCGATGATGCTATTCTGTCTAATTAAAGATCCCGTACGGGAGCGCGAAACTTTGGGAATGAATAGGGCCACCCTTTACTTGCAATATAAAATCATATAATACTTTTTAAATTGTTTCAAGTCGATTCAGATGCAGCCTTTGAAATTCAGCCTGCAATTCAATTGTGCTCTCCGCCCATTATACAATTTTCTATAATCTTTTTTTTTTTTTTTTTTTTGAAACAAGATGTAGCCCTTGAATCGATGTTACTCATGATAAGGCGACGTACAGGAGCTGTTGAGCAGAATAAGTGATTTAGCAGCTCTTTTTTAATTCGAGAAAGGCTTTAAGTTGTGCTCTTATTTCAATCTACTGATTTTTTCATTTCATCCCAAATTTGACCTCTGAATAAAACTTTTATGATTTTCGAAGTTTTGCAGGTGCCCGTGCATAGTCTCAAAATTATATCCTAGGTTATTTGGGAATGAACAGTATATCATGTTGGATATAATTTTGAGACTATGCACGGGCATCCCTTGACCTTGACTTGATTCCAACAAGCGAATGCTTGGCGTGTTTGGCAGAGCTTCTCTTCCCATTCGTGCTCTGCTTTTTTATGGCAGAAATATTCATGGAGGTTTGCCATTGTCTGCCGGGGGGACAGCTTCTTGAAAAAAACTTCTGTCGATGTTGCTAGAACCACAAAATAAATCAGGGATCTCCCGGGCGGCAGTAGGCACCTTTAAGCACCCGGCTACAGCAAGAGCACTACTCAAAACCGAAATAAGACAGAAAAAATGCAATCAAGTATTAAAAAAAAAGACCAAGCAAAAACTCTTTACTGGTTTTTATTTGTTTTAATTTTGATAAAAAAAAAAAACTACTAATTTTTCTTTTTTTTTCTACCGGACAGCTATCTTTACTGTTTATAGTTTTATTTAATTTTTTGGTCATGACTTCATACCAGGCTAAGTATTTCCACTGCATAAAAACTATGCAAAATAAACCCCGTTTATCGGGTTTTTTGAGTAACACGAAAACCGGTTTTGGAAAAGGCGAATAATGGAATACTACATATGTACATGGGTAAAGCTGGGATCCCACGATTGCCGCAATACACCAATTATTGCCTCATTTTATGCCCCAATCGTGTGATTTCACAATACATTGACTCATGCGGCAATAGAGGCCGCTATTGTGCTTACTGTGCCCAATCAAATACGGCCCGTGTGCGGCAATCGTGTGATAGCTCGATTGGCAATCATGGGGCAATGAAAATTTCAAAATTGCGGCAATATTTATTGTATTCTTGTGCGGCAATTGAAGTGAACAATACACATCAATATTTAGGCTGTTTATTAATAATTTACTTTTTTGCTTCCTTATGTGTCCAAAAATCACTGAAATTAATATCCTTGTTTTCGGAAGCAACATAACTTTTAATTTAATTTGTAGTGAAATTATAATTTTTCTTGAAGTCCGATAACGGAATCTTTGCCGCGATATATACCACCACAAGCAAAACTCATACGAGAAGAATACGAAAGGTATTTTATGTCACCAAATGGCGGACTGCCATGACAGTATAAATTTATTAATAAAAAAAAAAACTTAAAAGTTCAATACAGCCCACGACAAAGCAGTAGAACCTCAACATTTTGACCAGTCTTGACTATTTTTCTTCTACTTATTTAATCTTCATTATTTTCGTATAAAAGTATAGCTCATTGTCTAACAAAAACTTCATAAATCCAAATTGCAAGCTTTATACAAAAATTATAAAAATTTCTTAAACTTTTGAACACAATCCCACGGTTTATAATTTGGATTTCTAGAAAAAAATGGTTATTTAGTTTTGTAGCTCATTTAAATTTAGTACAATAAGGTGGAGGTTTGAAGTTGCTAAAAGATCCTGTTGATTTTTTATAATTTTTTTAGCTGACGGTGTTATGCACTTTCTTCTCTGTAAATTACTTTGTAAACTGCAAAACAAAATTTTTTCTAGAAACCCAAATTAAAAACCATTGAATTGTGATCAAAATTTTAAGAAATGTTTACAAATTTTGTATAAAGCTTGGAATTTAGACTTAAGTGGTTTTTACTAGACAATGAGCTATGGTTTTATAGGAAAAAATTAACATTAAACAACAGAAGAAAAAAGTCAAGACTGATCAAAATGTTAAGGTGCTATCTTTTGTTGCGAGCTGTACATATAATTATAAAATTTAATTCCAAACATAAATTATGTAAATTCGCAGCTTTCATTTAAACAAACACCTCTACGTAACAAAATTAAAAAGAAAACTGTTGCAACTTGAACTCCACATAGCACGTTGCAGTTATCGTCGAAAAATAAAAAAACTATACAATCAAACTTCTAAATAAATGCGTGAGTTTTCGTTGGGCACAAGTTTTTGCTTCTTTGCTTTCAAACAACAACAAATTTGCACTAAATGAGCCCGCAATATACAAAGCAGATGCAATTGATTTATTTTTTTATTAAGAATACGCCATTTTTACACAACAGAGAAAAAAACAGAATTTAGAGGTCAGCACAACACTTTATGGTCACAATTGCCGCATGCTCGAACAATCGTGTGATAAGTTTGGGGCAATTATTGTCACTATATTGCTTTTCGCCAACTTACGGCAATGAGAATTGTATAAAAAGAGGCAACCGTGTGACTGTACAGAATTTCATTGGGACAATTTTTTTATTGTGCTCCAATACAGCACAATAAAAATTGTTCCAGATTGGTCCATTTGCGGCAATCGTGGGATCTCAGCTTTAGATTTTTTATTTTTTACTTACCCTTAATCGCTTTACGTAATGTAATCAGACTGGACCGAATGGTGCTTAGTAGAACATTGAAACGTGTCATCTCCTGCACAAGTACCGTATTCATGCTCTGATGATAGCTCGTGGGATAGCGAGCAATTGCAGCATCGCGATCAAAATCCTTAGGTAGTCTATTCAAAATGTCGGTGGCGACATTGGTCACCACTTCTTCCGGTGTTAGAGCTTTTGTGTCCCCTTCTGCATCGCCTACTGATGACGTGCTAGTGTCCTTAAGGAAAAAAGGAGGAATGTAAGGTTGGGTTGGGACTGTAGGTAGGAAAAGGTTCTCAGGGAAACGTTTGGATAAGGTCTCAATATAAAAAGAATGGGATTTTTCTAACATCTATACAGATAAAAATAGAGGAAAATGTTTTACATTTCAGAACGGAAACCAAAATAGAATTTAAAATAGTTATAGACTTACCCGGCGTACATAGAAGTCCTGTTTAAAAACAAAAACCAATTATGAAAAAATGGCATTATTAAAACACTTTCAAATTTGTATATATATGTAATTAGCAAATACGCTAACTTACCGAACGGTCCTGTGAATGCATTGTTGTTTTATATAAAGAAAGCATTGATTAATTTGAAGCCATAAAACACTAACAACAAATAACTACACATGAACTGACTACTGCAAAATCTAACGAAATTTTCCTTTCTACGAAAAATTTTTACTTTCTCATTGCTCTCTTTGCATAAATACTAAGAAGGGGGCAATATACTAAGAAGTGGGCAATAAAAAGAGAACATATTTTGAAGAAAAGAGAACGCTATAAGTCTTAGTTCTTACTTTTAAGTAGAGCCTTCGATTTCGCGAGATTGCTCGAGAAACAATTTCTGGCGAGGAACGCTATGTCACGAGATTCTCGTGTATCGAAAACCTCGGTATACTCGTGAGCTTTTCGATGCCCAACTTAAAGGTCTGATTATGCATACCTCGCATAACTTCGCACAACTTCTTACAATGTAACACAACTTTGCAAACCTTAAGGCTGATTATGCTTCGCATGCAACAAATTTATCAGTACTACCAACCTTATACATCGACGCAATAGGGTTATTTGACATAATTTTCAAAGGAATACCTGCCAAAATATTTTAATAAAATATGTATGTTTTTCTTAAAAATACGTAATTGATTTGATTTTTAATTTTATATAGTTAGGTTTAAGGACAACTGCCAAAAGTGAAATAAAAGATATGTATTGATATTATATTTAATTAATTTATTTCATATAAAACGATATTCTATATATATAAAATAATAGCCGTTTTCGTTGTTCTGAGTTAACTCAAAAACTACTGCATAGATTTCAGTAAAGTTTTCAGAGGTCATACCTTGCATATATGGTCCTATTTTAGGCTACCAGAAAACTCGCTGGGTGGCGCTGGGGTCCAGTTGTTTATAAAAGTCGTATTTATGAACCGATTTCGTTGAAAATTAAACTGTATACTACCTTCATTATGAGAAATACATATGCGAAAAATAGATCCGCTAGATGGCCCTGGAGACGAGTTATTTATAAAAATCGTATTTATTCACCGATTTCTTTTCAATTAAAAAAGTAAGCTACCAGCATGAAGATTAATACGTTTACCAAAAATAGATCTGCTAGGTGGCGCGGGAGTCGGGTTATTTATAAAAGTCATATTTATGAACCGATTTCGTTCAAATTCAAAGTATAAGCTACCTGCATGATGAAAAAAGCATTTGCGAACAACGAACCCGATAAAAGTCCTATTTATGAACTGATTTTGTTAATGCAAATTCGAAACGTTTATTTCTTTCATGATATTTTTTTTTTCATTCGAAACATACTTATATGTACATACATTCATAAAATGATAGCACTTATCGTTGTTCGGACTACACTCAAAAACCAGTCAAATTGTCGGAGGTTATACCTTGCATATATGGTCCTATTATAGCCAACTAGACAACACGCTGGTGGTGCTGGAGCAGAGTTTCTTATAAAAGTCTTATTTATTAATCGATTTCGTTCGAATTCGTAAAGTGAGCTACATGTATGATGAAAAATTCGTTTCCAAAAAATGAACCCGCTATATTTTATAAAATCTGATTCAAATTCATAATGCGTATTTACTTCATGAAAAGCAGTGGTTTTGCAGAAAAGGGACGTAATGGATTGCGCTGCCGCCGAAATATATAGAAACCAACACGGGGTTTGGTCTGCTTTAAGCCTATATTCATCTTAGATGAATTTACCTTTCATATGGCTAAATTTAGGATTCGTGTACGTATGCATGTAAAGACCACAACATTGTGTAAGCGCACATTTGTCTGACGCCCTCATACAACCTAAATGTGATCTTGCTCCTATCTCCGATTGACGAAATTGCTCGGCAAATTGATAAGGAAAGATTCGACCACATCCGTAAAAAAAAGGAACCCGGTAGGTATATCAATGGCTTCATTTGAACGATATTTAAGAGATCACACGACTCATTTAGTCAATGTACGTGAAAACTTTTCATCCTGTGGGGGCGAGTATTTTTGACCCTCCTATAACTGAAAACGTTCATCTGTGCTCTTTAGTTTCCTTATAAGGACTTTTATTGGCTTACATGGTTTACGGATCAATGTTGAAGTTGCAAGATCATAGAAGAATATTACGCACACTTGGCAGAGACCTCACAGGTACAAATAAGACCATCGGTAAAACTCATGACATCGAAAGGGATTAGAATTCCATGTGCTATCACAGCGCCACTATTATTGGCCTATGTGTGAGGGGCTTCTGCTCTTTATTCGTTTCAATTGAAATTATAAAATTTTACTTTACAGATCGATTTTGCTTTTACACGCTATTTTTGTATTGGCCAACGCAAAAGATCTTATTAGGCGCCGGGAAGCAAGCGGGCATTGGCTAGTTTTAATATAAAATGAAAATTTGGAATAAAAAATTAAGAGTTAGTGGTTCATTAATAGGATTTAATGAACATTAAAGTTACGTGAAGAAAATCATTAATTAACTCTTTAACGAATGATTATGAAATTTTTTGTTTTCAATAAATATCAATTTCGCTAACGATTCTTTAACAGTGAGCAGAGCACTGGGGTGCCATTCGAGAGATCCGCAACTGGGGCCATACTTAAATTTTTCATTTACAAATGAGCCCCTATCTTTTAACTCTGAGAGGAAACATTACTTAACAGGTTTAGCGATCATTATTTTACTGCCCGTTAGAGCTAATTTAATGAACGTTTCTGAGTCGGTCGCTGTGTGGTAGTTGTAAGTGCGCGCTTTCACTCATCAGAATCTGGGTTCAAGCCCTGGAAAAAGCAATATCGCAAAAAATATAGAAAAACGTTTTTTTCTTAACGGCGGTCGTCCCTCGGCAGGAAATGGCAAACCTCCGAGTGTATTTCTGCCTTGAAAAACAGCTTCTCATAAAAATACAATCGCCGTTCGGAGTCGGCGTAAAACTGTGTGACAACACAAAGGCGCACGCCACAAGTCGGAGGAGAAGCTCGGAGAAACGCTAAAATATGTGTAAGCGCCAATCTATTATTATTATTATTATTATATTCTGAGTGCGGCTGTCAGAGTTAAAAGATAAGAGCTCATCTTAATATATAAAAAATCCCATGTCACTGTGTTCGTTTAAGCTAATCTCCGAAACCGCTTAACCGATTTCAATGAAATTTTGTGGGTGTGTATTGTTGGTTCCAACTTAAAAGATAGGATAGTTTTGAATTCGAGAAAAAATATATTTTTTTCATCGACATTTTTTCTATGCTTTGTGGGTGTGTAATATTGGTTCCAACTTAAACGAAAGGATAGTTGTGAAACCGAGAAAACATTTTTTTTCATCAAAGAGTTTCTATGCTTCTCGCATCGTGCTTATCTTAATATATAAAAATGGACTCCGTTCGTTTACGCTAATCTCCGAAACCGCTTAACTGATTTCAATGAAATTTTTTGCATGCGATTTCATATACATGCCCGGGATGTATATGAAATCGCATGCAAATATGTATGTTGATACATTAGAAAAATAATCTTTATTCCGAATAAATTTTTTAAAATAATACAAGAATATAATGATATTATATACATATATATTATATATATAAGACTTGTAAAATAAAATATATCAATAAATTGAAAATTACTAACTTTTTAACAACACCTAGATATTGCATTGAGGCGTATTAGTAGAATGTTCTGCACACACGGGTCTTTTGCACAATATGCAGGTTTTCCTTGTTGGACGTATATTGAACAATTACCCTTTGTTTTTATTCTGCCCGCACTGTCACCGCAACATCCATTATCCTCAAAAAACCGCCGTTTAATGCTTCAATGACGTTGCGTGCAGAAAATATTCTGGTTACTCGACTATTAGTAGCTCTCACTTCTGTTTCAGGTTTCGCCAGTTGCTCACTAAGTTGATGAAGGAACATACTATTTCGGATTTTAAAGGCCTTCAGGTGTGTGCAATTCTCGAAGTAAATTATGTACATAATAAGGACAGCCACATCCAGAATATTATAAGAAAATGCCAAAGGCAGCTTGGTTGAATATTCTGCAAGTTTTAATCTAATTTCAATAGCGCCTGCTGCTTAAAACCTTTTATTTCGGTTTTCTAACACATTCTTGAAAATACCCAAACTGATTTATTTTTCGTCGGCATGTACTGGTCCATATTTGCAGACCTGAGTATGTTGTGGGTTGGGAATCTGGCAGTTTGTGGTAGTGGAGCAGCTCAAATTGTTCCTTCCTTGGCAGTATAGTTTCCCCGGTATATCGTCAAGTTCTTCATGATCTTCCGGATCGTATTCTGATAACTCGATTTCTTCTATATCGGAGTGAACTGGAGTTACATCATCTTCGTTATCGTCTACAATCTATTCAGATACGAAATGCTCGTCGTCACTATTTTCCTCTCCTAAATCTTCTAACTTGTGGCGAATGTATCAAGTGCACTAAGTTTTCGTGGAGTAAGCCATTCACCATTTGTCATTTTCACTTTTATAAATGTTATTTCGTTGCGTAACACTTGGTTATAAAAACATTTTATCTCTTCAGTCTCCATGTTCTCACTACATGGATTCAAGTAAATATTAGAGCTTAAGTACTTTTTTGCCTACCAGTTCTTAAGTTTTGTTCAAGTTTTGAACTACCTGATGTAACAAGAAACATAACAAGAATTACTTGCGTCCACCTACAAAAGCCCTTTTAGAATAATCATACAAGCTTTGTACCTCAGCAATCCTTTTTGCATACATTCAAAATTAAGGACCATAGCGTGTGTTCTAAAAAACACATTATTTATACAGAAAAATAACATATTTCTCAAATTTTTCTTCGAAAACTAACAACAGAAACTTAGCCAGATTAAAAGAAATGTGTTAAATATTCACATTTTCGTCACAATACAATACCGTCTCCCATACAAAATCACGATGCAGCGAAACAAAGGTGGCGCCTTCCGCGGACCGCTTGTCCCCCCTTTCCCGATTTGACAGCATCCACCCTTTCGCTGACGTCACATTATTATTTTTTCGCACTAGTGATGAATATTA